AGGCGGCTTCGCGCTTCAGTGCCGCGCCCACCTCCGGCGCCACCGTCGACGCCAGGCCGGCGGCGGCCGGCTTGCTCTTGAACAATCCGAACATGTCGCTCCTCTGTGACGACGCATCCTGCGGGCTGCAGCCGGCCGTGGCCAGCAGCAAGGCCAGCGCGAAGGCCTTGCCTTTCAACGCGGCGGTGCGGGTCGTCCGGACGCTGTGCTGTGTCATGCCCGGCATGCTAGCGGCGCACGCATGCGTCGGTCCCCAGGGTTGGCCCGTCAGCACGCGGGGGTTGAAGCCTGGTTCGGGTACACGGGCCATGCCCGTGCAGACGGGCTAGTTCGGAAACACCGCCTTCAGCACGAACGCCAGCCGCGCACCGGCCAGCGTCAGCTGCTGCCGCTTGATCGCATCCGACTTGGCGCTGTAGCCGCTGGGCAGGCTGACGGTCCAGTGCGAGCCCTGCTTGGGCGAGAACTTCAGCCCGTCGAAGACGACGCCGGCCTGCTCCAGCGACTGCGTGGCCCAGCGGGCCGGCCAGTCGAGCGGGTCGCCCTGGTTGTTGCGGATCTTGCGCGCCTCGGCCAGCCAGGCGGCGTTGACGCGGTTGGGGTTGAACTTGTCGGGCACGCCGTCCCAGATCGAATGGAACTTGATGGGGCCGAAGCCGGCGCCGACCGGCGCGTCCGGGCCTTCGTGCGTGTCGTGGGCCGCGGCCTTCGCCGGTGCGGCAGGCGTTGCGGGCGTGGCCGCGACGACGAAGAGGCTGTTGCCGCCGACGGTTTGCGTCGCCGGGTCGAAGCCTTTCTTCTCGGGGTCGACGCGCTGGCCTTGCGCGTCGAGGTAGACGGCGCCGACGTGCAGCGGTTGGTGGATGTCGCCCACCAGGTGCACCAGCACGAGCAGCGCCTCGCGTTGGCTCTTGAACTGCGGCTGGCCTGGCGCCGGCTTGCCCTGCAGCACGAGGATGGCCTGGCGCAGCGAGCCGACCACGTCGTCGGGCCGCGTGCCGCTGAAGCCCAGCAGGTAGCGGCTGCGCTGCAGCGCCACGTCGGTGTAGTGCGTCTGCTTGTGGCAGGTGTCCTCGCCGGCGAGCTTGCACTGCTTGTCGTTGCGGCGCACGTAGTTGGCCATCTCGGCCAGGCGCGCGGGCGTCTCCAGCGGCGCGCACTCGGCGTACTTGCCGGGCGTGGGGTAGCTGTAGTTCTTGCCCGGCGAGATGCCCTTGGCGCAGTCGGCCCACACGGCGGCCAGCGGCAGCGGGAT